AGGTGAGAAATGCGAATACATGAGGGAGTGACTTTGCGTAAAATACTACAATTATTGCATAACTTCAAAGATAAAATCTCCCTCTTTCATTTAATCCATAATCCCAATCTCGTTATAGGTGATTAATCTACATACTCAGGCTCCTTTTAAAGAGGTGCTTGAACTATTCCTTTGACCTATAAAAAATTTGCAATTGTTTCCCAACTATGGATAAAATATCTATCAAATCAATTTGAAGAAATATTTGTAATAGACATCTTAAAATCAAGCTACCGGTGATCTTATTTATCTAGTCTTTAGCACGTTCTTACTCATTATAGGTAAACAGGTAATTAATCATGAAATGTTTACTCTACTCACTTAGTGCATAAAGAGAGGCTTGTTAACTCCGAATGTCAACATCACTCGATACGTTATGGTACACTACTATGAAATGTGCTAATTAAGCTATAAATAGCGGAGGTATTTACCTAACTGCATGATGCTCGTGAGCATGACAAACTTTACAACTTTATTCACTCTATTTCGTTTGAGGTGATGAAGGACTGGCAGTAGAATTTTCCCACAATGATATGAGTAGAGCTGAGGTTTCCATTGAATTTCACATTGCCTTGCTTTCCCAAAAGTTGTTCTCATCCAGGGTGGATTGCAGTTTCGACCTCGCATAGGTCTTATCAACACCCCCAGCGGGAGTCAAACCGTGACCCTGGATGAGAACAACTTTTGGGAAAGCAAGGCTATGCAAATTTTAATGGAAACGTCAGCTCGTTTAATATCATTGTAAGAAAATTCTACTGCCAGTCCTTCATCAGCTTAAACAAAACAAGGTGAATACATCTTTTATTACTGATTTGCTGGTAGTCTCGAAACTCTACTTACATAAAAAAAATAATTTACAACTTCATGTTTTATTCTATTCATAATGTGATCGCTTTTTATTTAAGTTCCAGAAGCAATCAAATGAAATTATTCGTCTCCGCAAAGAATTAGAATCAAGATCTATTCTGGATCAAAATTCAGTGAGTCGACATTTTGTAACGAGCTTTTATAGGAGCAAATATTTCGACTTATCTCATTTAATTATTATGCAGTTAACAATTTACCAGTGAAGTTTCTTCTGGCCAACTATCAGGGCTAGCTAAACAAGTTTGACTCTTTAAATTCTTACACAAAATAGCAATTTGACTATTATGCATGTCTTAGTGGCTAATAAAATCATATTTGAGCCTCCTATGATTTATTTAAAGGAATGTCTAATTTCGTAGACGAATTTCACTATACCTAACCGGAATCTTCTAAATCTCTTTTATTTCCTTAAGGAATTTTTGTCTCTTCTAATATGCATTGAGTCTTGTCAGTTTATCCAACAAGGAATATTTGGGTAAGAATTTTTATATTTTTGCAGAAAGCTGATGGTAAATCATTCATAACTTCTTCAACTTCCTCTAATTTCCTTCAGCCTGAAATACAGTCATTCAAGATCGAATTAGATAGCCTTAAACGGGAACTGGGCAGGCGTGACGATAGAATTACCTCTATGGAGCGGGAATGTGTAAGTTCAATGTGATATAAAGTTAACTGCTTTTAAAAGAATAGTCAGTTCAGTATTTATATTTTAAACCTGTTTTAATATCCTAATTAAATCCGATAGCAAGAACGTCATATTCGCCGAATTGAAGTACTTCAAGTTCATTTGCGTCGATTTGAGGAGGAGGCAGCGAATATGAATGCTGTACTTGATGAACAACGAAAGGGAATTGAGGAAAGAGAACGTACATTGAAACAGCTCCGAACAGATCAGGTAAAGTGTGAGGGAACTCTGAAGAGTTTTTAGTTTAATATTAAAGTACCGTTTTAATATTATTCAGGATAAACCTTGAATAATTGTACTTTTAAAATATTATTCCTAAGCTTTATTACGCTTTCCAACGAATTTTCCTGTAAATAGTGTTTTGATACTCTTTTGTAACGTTAGAGACAATTATTACTTTGTACTAATTATCTATCAAATAACTATATCGTCAAGTGCGAACGCCTTAGAAAAATATTCTAAGTATTATATACTTGCCAGAAAGTCGTAGCCATTTCCCGTGCTGTGAAAATTGGCATCATTATTTTATTCAAATTCATTATATGTTTCCATTTTTAAACTGATTACTTCATTAATACCCATAGTCTTGTCATCCTCATATTCGATTTTTTTAATTAAAGCTAAACTATGCATTATTATGATCTTTTTTTACTTAAAGTCATCAATTGTGGAACTGGAAAAATTACGTAAGGAGCATTCTCAGTGCTCTCAACAGTTGGAACAGAGAGCTAAGCATATCGCCACTCTAGCCAATCAATTGGAAAATCAAACGGAGGAAATACTCACCATAAAGTAGGTGACATTTTACTATTCGAATTTTATTATTGGTAACGCTGGATGATTGCTTCAATTTAGCTTTTTATATTGTTTCTTATTCTGTTAATAAGACTTGAATTTACATAAATATTCATCCCTTCGGGAACTTCCCTAAATAGCTTGCCTTCACAATAATTTAAATTGTTTCTGAATATACTAAATTTGGAAGTCCAAATTAATACTACATTCATCTTAGTTGTCTTAAAAAAGTAATCACAAATATTACAGTCAAGCTTTCTTGCGAAAGAAAACGAATTAAGTATATCGAAATAAAGGCAAAGCGGTCACTGTCAATCGATAACTATTCTTTACATTAAATAATAAGTAGTTAGTGAGAAGGCGAATCAAACTGGAATGCAAGAATATAAACTAAGAAACAACAGATATAATGCTATTTTTCGTTTGTGCCTATTGTTTCGAGACTACCATACATCTCTTATAACAGATATAATGATAATCAGATGGATAGATGGGCAGATGAAGAGTTAGCTAGATAGCTAGGTATGCAGATAGGAGTAAGATGCACACATGGATTGATCAACGTTAAAATACTTAAAATACCAAATGATCGAAGGTACACTTTTATATTTAAAACGAGCTTTAGGAATAGCCATAAGTTTATTGTCCGCATAAATATCCTAATACTATACTCCGGCATAGCATGACTGGTAGGAATGTGTATGGGTAGGTGGATTGGTTTGTAACTAAGTTGCTAAATAGATAGCTTTATAGGCAGTTATGTCGATATGCAAATTAGATACGGCACAACACATGCCGACGGCTTTGTAGAGCATGTAAGTCTTCAGACGGTATTTTTAGTCTAAACAGTCCCTGGGAGGAAAAGCTTGTCAAGTGGGCGCCCAGCTCCATCCAAATAGCCTTATCTCGCTATGCTGTATCCCCTTATGATTAGTCCAGGAGGCGGAAATATGCATGCCTCTTGCAAATAAGAAGCATTTGCCACCACATTTAAAGACTACCTCTTGGAACTTTCTTAGCGTTGCTGCATGGCATGAGATGATGTTCTTATTGCGATATGTCTCATTTATAAAAGACCTCACTTAAAGTTAATGCAAACAACATCTTTCGGAAAGTTCCTGCTATCTGTCAAGGGCTATACCCAATTTCACCAGATCGGGTCTTTTTAGCTAAGTTTTGATTATTTTATTGGGCCTTCTCGTCTAGCTAGCAGACCAAGTAATAGCAATAAGTAAACTATTGGGGGAGCCATTCTAAATAGGTGTTATCGGGACCTAAGTCTTTATTTTGGCATTCGTTTGTTCCATTAGTGAACAAAGCAAGAGTCCTCACGATAATTGCTCACAAAATCTGTCCGCTTCGGTCCCAACGTATCACGACAACAGATCTAAAGCGTTTTGGCTACTTTGGCTGAGCCTACTTCATGCTCTCATTTCTAATGAATGAAGCAAATCTGTAATAAAACAATTTGTGTATGCTAGAAGCTTAAAAATATGTATGAGAATGTATCAAGTCCACGGTCAGATGCTAGGAATCAAGACAACTACTACGGCAGACGACTTCGGAC